CATGACGCTAGTTGTGCGATTTCAGCCTGTCTGAATAGTATATTATCAGTCACACAGTGTACACTTAGGCGATCTGTTATGATCTGACCAAATATTTCTGGATTATTTGAATAACGTGTTGCGAACACCTACGAATTGATTGATATTGAATTGCAGAGTGATCTTCAGCTCTCCACCAGATTTCGATTTCTTGTTGCTCACATCTACTAGTTAGTTGTGTTGGTGATTTCCATATCTGATTCCCAGCCATCAACTACACTTAGAAACAGTGGTTATTGCCTGTACTGGGCAACATTGGTTCAACTACAGTTGACACAGATGAGGTAATTAGAACTATTCTTTATTGGTGTAGGCAGAGATGCGTCTACCACTGTGAAATTAGTATGAAATAAATATCTAATTTTAAACGAAGTTTATGTATCGAAATATCAGTTTAACTTTTAATATGTATTCGCAAACATTAACACACACATTGCCCTAATTCATTTTGAATAACAATATAATGCTTGTACAGTGTTGAAGATTTATTCTCTCAACTGAGCGAAATCATCGATTTCACATAGTAAAATATATCACCATAAGATTTCCAATGAATAAACACATATGAGGTGATTTTGGAAATGTACTTGATCGTTGTTTATCGAATTCGTGAAACGATCACTTACTGCGGCGTTTGGTTTACAAACTATGATGATAACGTCAAGTTGACCAATATGGTTGTCGCACATAGGATGAGAATGTACTATTCTCCTTCATGATTGGTGTCAGTATTTGCATCCAATATTGAATCAAACTGATAATGACCCGACATAAGCAGCATACTGTATATTTCGTCTAATGCAATATGTAACTCGCAGTCTTCTATGATTATCCCATATACATGATAAAAACGTTCTCCTCTGTAGTTTTCAGAATTGTTTGAATGTGTCTTCTGCATATTTGACACTTCGTACTCGTAAAGAAGGCGTCTTATTCCTCCTCTTGAGTGATAAAACGATTAGAAGTTAGCAATATTTTCACAATATTCTGTATGAAATAAATTCGTAATAAACGCAAACTCGTATCCGTATCAAAGCTCGTTTACATACGCTAACACAAGTGTTTGATAAAAAGAAACGATGGTTCGAGGGAAAGCTTTTGAAGGAACGGTAGACATCGAGTTGGGTGATGAGGCTGGATAAAACCGATACAACACACAAATGCATTACAAGTAACTTGAGGATGTTTCCACCACAGAATATGTATTGTCCATGGTCACTGGTGTGATTACACGTGAAAGATATTTGAAATGAAATAATTTGTCAAAATGTGGCTGTGCTTTTTTGTCAGTAGATGTTCTCAAACGAGCCTCGATAATTTCATTAGATAATATTAGATTTGTGGAATGAGACGACTAGTTCTATAGAGAAGAGGTTCTTTTCAGTGATTTCCTTTTTCCAGCTGCGAAATTGCATTTACGTACAACATTTTCACAAGAGCGGAAAGTAACAAAGGTGGTGAATTGTCATAATCACAATCGCAAATTAGTGATCAGTATGAAAATGAAGTTTAAGAAGGGTATGTAGTAATACAAATACTTTGATGGGTGAGTTAAATTCAGGATGCACATAGTAACGAGGGAAATAGTAAGAATACGTAGGATTTTGAATGAAAATACAGGTAGAGGGAGTAATATAATCAGGTTGGATGAAACGACTTGTCTATCTGAATATCCATAGCTTCAGAAATTCAACAGAGATGTAGGCTATTTTCGTAAGGTAGCTCTTCACTTTACAGGTAACTTTGAAGGAATCGTTCGTTGTGATAGAATGGTCAGTGTCGACAAAGCATAGAACTATTCCATTCATTATAGAACAATTGACAGCTTTATGCTGTGATGCCAGTTTGTGTTTTTGAACTCTGTCAGACGAAATACGCACTGAACAACCACTGCAACTGGTTCTACAGAAATAATTGAATTGGTATATAATAACATATGTGTAAAACTTGGGCACTGTGGTAGTAAGTAATTCCATATCAGTTTGTTTATTAAATGTATCACACAGTGAAACAGTATTGTATACTGGATGACGTTTCGAACACAATTTATTGTTCATAGTCATATCAATTTTGGTCACACGACTTCGAGATTTGATTTTTATAGTTTTCTCTGTCTTCTCCTATTTGTCGTATGGGCAGTAGAATTTTCCATATATCTGGGACCGGTGTTGAATCATTCCTATTACATGTATTTGCAGTGGATTCGATAAACAAAGCTTCTGTTATCAATCTCTCCCTATACCCTGTTACATTAGATTTTAAACTGTCATCCTATCCCATCCTATTGTATGGTTGTGTGTAATTGCATGTAGTGAGTGTATAGCTGAACTATTCTTTAGATTTCTTATCTTATTTGGTTCAACCAAACTGGATTTAGGTAGGTTTTTATATTCGGCTAGTCTGACTGCCGCTGTTCTACTAGTTTGACCTATATATTTGACCTCACAATCATTGCAGGGTATTAGATAAACTAAATTGTTTTGTTTTAAGGGCTCTACAGGATCCTTTAATCGACACAGCTTGTTTCTAATTGAGTTTGTGGGTTTGAATGCCACTTTTATTCCTGCCTTGTTAAGAATTCTGCGTAAGGCTTCCGAGGTTCCTTCCTTGTATGGAATTATTGTTGATGATTTACATTCCTTATTGGAGGTGTCGTCATTAATATTGTTATTATCACTATTATTATTACCATTATTATTATTGTTATTATTATTATTGTTATCATTATTATTATTATCACCATCGCTATTATCATTATTTATTTTATTTTTACATTTCCTTACATATTTCTTGACTAATTTATCCGGGTAATTATTAAGTTTCAAGGCTTCTTTTATGTGTATCACTTCCTGTCTTAGATTTTCCTTGGTACTACTTAGTTTTTGTGCTCTGTCATTTAAACATTTCACTAATTCTATTTTTATTGACATAGGATGGGATGATCTGAAATCCAAATATCTGTTTGAATATGTGGGTTTTCTGTAAACACTACTGTTTAGCTTCCCATCTTCCTTCTTTTTTACGTTGCAATTTAACATTGGAAGTTCCCCTTCCTGACTTTCCAATTCATAAGTGAATTGAATGGCCTCTACCTTCGAGTTGATGTGTTCGAAAAATCTATCTATATCTTGTGTTCTAAGTACAGTGAATGTGTCATCTACATACCTCCACCACACTTTTGGGGTGGGGGTGAACGTTTCAATCGCTATCTTTTCCCACCTATCCATGAATATATCTACCACAATTGGGGATATTGGTGATCCTATGGCAACTCCTTCAGTTTGTTTGTACATTTTCCCCTGGAATTTAAATACTGTGGAAGTCAGGCATATCCGCACTCCCAGCATTATGTCCTCAAGTGGCACTTTTGTCCTAAGTTCGAGTTCTTGGTCAGAAATGAGTTCGTTTCTGACTGCCTCTAAAGCCATATTTATTGGTATACGTGTATATAAACTGACAATGTCAAAACTAACCATTTTTTCTTCATTATCTAATTTTAAATTATCTAATCTGTGTTTTAGTTCATAAGAATTAGTTAGTCTAGATTTCGAGTGGATTTTTAGGGGATTTAATACCATGGCTAAATATTTAGATAATTCATAGGTAGGTGAATTTCTAAAATCAACTATAGGCCTAATAGGGTATCCTGACTTATGAATTTTAACAACACTATACATCCTACTGGGGTTATTAGTTTTTGGCATTAAATTAAACCACTTAGACTCACCTAGAAACGGCTTCATTCGGCGTATAAGGTCCGCTGTGGATTTCTTAACTTTATTCATAACTGTGTCTATTGATTTATTAATTTCCTCATATGGTCCTGTTTGTATGTGAGTATTTACCTTGTCCAAATAGTCTGATTTGTCTAATACTACTGTTGCGTTTCCTTTGTCTGACTTTGTGATTACTATGTCTTTGTTGTTCTGAAGGTGTTTCAGGGCTTCTATCTCTGGTTTTGTCAGGTTAGGCTTTCCACATTTTTGTCGTTTTAATGTAAGTGCACATTTTCCAGTATATATATGCACATAGAAGTGGTCAGATAGGAAGCTTGAAAGACAAGGTCTCGCAACAATACAACAATTTCTGAATGTGTATAAGAAGTAGATTATTAGAAGTTCACATTGGATTCATTTTCCACTGAACATCTGTCAGTTACTTCATGTTCATTCAAATCGGCGTTTACGTATTCTTCTATCATAAAAACTAGAGATTAATGTGGGATTAAGAAGCTGTAATTATTCGGTATTGTACATGACATCAATGTTTCTCAAGCATTAACAAGTAAACGAGCTAATGAATTATAACACATTGTGCTTTTAGCAGTTAATATAGTTTAGGCAATAAGAATCAACAGTTAATGTCTGACGTAAATTAACATTTTAAAACTTGATGAGATGAATAAGCACTTCGTTTCAAATTTAGCTTTTCATAATCATGACAGCTTCTAGTTCTGTGTAATCAATCATCAATCATACACTAATGAATATGCAAATCATCTAATAGCACATACACAGCTTCACAATTACTGAATGTCCTTTGACTTGATGACTGACAGAAATTAAGCTTACCACAGAATCATCAACTGAACTTCACATTTCATCCCACGTCTGTGACAGAGAGTATGTTTTGTTAATTAAACACTGATGGTAAGCTTATCGTGTGCCATTGTTTTCAGTGCTTAGCTTAAACCGTCTCAAAGTGTAATTATAACTGAAAATCGAAAGTGAACAGGGCTGTTTTGAATCGCTTTATTCGAATGTGTGGAATTTATTCATGACGACGCTCATTTACAGTTTCTACCTCCTAACGTTTTCCAGTTTGATGCATATTTTGATTTGAACGCGCTTCGAATGAAGAAAGGTTTATTGTACATGATGCATTATCGATAACTATTCCACATCTAAATTCGCAACAAAATTATGAGTAGAACGAATCATTTAAAAAAGGTAGATTTATCGAGTGAAAATGCGGAACTATTATTCACATTTATTTCGTTAAAAATTAGGGTTTAAAAAATGTAATACATATATGCATATACATATACATATGCATGACTCCATATTGTGTATAGCAAAAAATGTGCCTGTGAAACCGGATTTCTGAATTTCTTGCGAATACAAATATGAGTTACATTCGATTGATGTTAATGTCTATGAAAAGTGTCATCCTTCAAATGAACATTGATTTTCCCACAAAGTTATATATAATCTCTGACTTGGAAACGAAAACCAAAAAACTGAAGAGTAATACACAATCGTTACTCCCTGAATGTTACAGTTAACCAAAATGTACTCAATAGAGCTTTTGGAAATATTTTGCGATAATGAAAACAAGGAGGGTGAAACATATCAGCTTGAGATTCGACTTGATCTGCGTTGTTGAATTGCAGAGTTCAGATTCACAGCAGTAGATGTCAGTATTTGGAATTTTAGGGAGACCTTCACAAGAACCTACGCATCCTCTTGTAATTATTTTCACTGGTTTTGTCGTAACAGCTTTCTGCAAGGAGAGAAATAATAACATACAAAACAATTCTCGGATGTGGATCCACTTATTCGAATGACATGAATATTTAGAGGCGATTTTTCCTCTGTTAGATAAAAGTGACAGTCGAATTTAGTTTTTCAGTGAAAGAGTGCTAGCGATGGTTGAGAGGAAATCAGTGGTTTGATGATTAATCATTCACTTATTAAGATTATCACACTGGAAGATATAGATTTATACTACTCATTAGGCTACTATTTCTGACGTCAACATATTTGTCAGTGAATTCGAGTGAAGTATGGATATTCCAACTCACACTACTAATAATTGACGGGAATATCTCTGAAAGTGAATGGATCGGTTATTCTGAGATTCGCAGCACATTTATAAATCCTCCTGCTTCTCCACAGTTACAAAACACACAAATACCACTCTCTCATGTCAGGCATTTGAATAGAGACGCCGGTGTTGTGAGATGAATAGTGTGCTTCATTTGACACTGTCAAGTTGAGTTCACATTCCCTTTTCATCGTGAGTAATGTGAATAGTGCGAATATAAGTGAGTGAAGGAGGACAGTGTCACCACCAGTGACTGTATGATGATGTCAAGTTACACATTGAACCATTAAAATTGTTTCCTGACGGAAAATGTCTCAGTTGGATACAGTCGAATATCATCGTAATGGAAATTTCAATGTGTGATTGAGTATTGAATCTCTTGTGTTTAATGGGTTGGGTATACTGACGAACTTCCAAATAACTAAGACCAATAAATAAGTGTCATTATGAAAGTTGTGCACAATGTTATGAAGAGAAATGCATAAATCTTACAACACAAGCTCCACAGTTTTTTTTCTTTGGGGTGCTCTTATCCACTTCATCGCAGTTGGGACATTCATAACATTGTAGCTTTCCTGTGTAGTAGAAAAGGTTAAATTTCGCATTGTGAATTATTTCTATGCAAAATTTGTAACAATAATTAAGACCAGAGTAAAGATGGGCTATTACTGATAATACATACCGAAATCCATGTCTTTATTATTGATTTCATGGTATGTTGATGATGTATGCAACATGAATGCAGAATATAAGAGGGGTGTTGTGTTTACAGGTAAGAAATAAGGATCACAAATAATTACGCGACGTCAATGTTCACCTCAATGATTTTAAAAAATATCACGATATTTATTCTTTAGCGTTGGCCTATTGCACCTGTAATTTCCGCCTTAAATAACAACGTCTGATTCATATTTCCACATTAAACACAGTGAAACATTCACTTCATTTTCTCTATCTCAAAATTTTCCACTCATGTTTACACGGTCGCCTTCAAATTGCTCATTTCAATCCTGCTCCTAAAGTAATCCTACTGTTTGCATATTGGGAACTTGAATAATTCATTCACTCCTAACATTCACTTATGGTAATTCGATTTCAAAATGAGATGTCAGTAAGTTAGAAGTGAATTCGAAAAATTAATTAAATGAATATGAAAACAAAAGTTACCCATATGGAAGATTTGTGACAGCAACATTCTCACTTGAGTTCCCACATCCTCCTCACTAGCTGAAACTATAATCAAGTAATAATAAATATATAACTTATAAATATTTTTTCCAGATAGCAGTAAAAGTTGAAATAATTGACACACAATCACATTTAACCCTACCTGACTCATTTGTGGTGGCCATTTTAATGTTAGAAAGCTTCTCGCAATCTATCCTGTCTGTTGATGGGATTCGTCGCTCTTTCATTATGCAGTACATAACCATCATATTTACAACACATAATGTCTACCAAGTCTTTAGAAATTTGCATGTTTCTCGTATATCGACTTCGCTGAATAACCATTCACTTGAAAATTAGGTTTAAAAACTTTGGTGAGAAGTTGAAATCAATCAATATGTTGGTGATCTACACCTTCTGCGTACTATTCTTATTTATCATCCAATATAGTCATTGCATCTGTTATTACTGCGGTAAATAACAAATATCGAATAATCCATTTTGAACTGCATATTGTGAGTATATGTAACTCTCGTGGAACACAAGATATAACAAACATTACATATGGAATGATTACATTTAATAAGTACTGTGGAAAACTTCTCCGGTGTAGTTCAGAAAAATTACTGATTGTGTCTTCTACATAGTTGACATATCTATCTTCATCGCATTTCAACAATCGAATTAAACATCGATGGATTCTACGCCACTGCTTTACGCGTGTGAGACAGTTATTCGAAGTAAGAATCACTCTATACTGGTTACCATGATATTGATTCCTAATACACTCTTAATTCTATAAACAACAAATGTCGAAGGATGCATTTTGAAGAGCATATTCTGAGAATAAATAACTGAACTAGGTTCTTTTATAACACTTACGCAATATACCGAATGAGTCTTCTACATATTCAGGGCTTCGTGTTCTTACATTCATCATCGACACACACGTCAAATGGAGCCATCTGACTGATTCCCATCCCCGATGAAATGATTACGAGTAGAACTGATTTGATACTAGTCGGTGTGAAATTCAGTCATAATCGACTATTCCGCAAACCTTGTGGATTCCTGTCTGCCTTGATGTCGATTCCATGTCGTCCCTCATTCACATCCACCAACACTTGTGGTCAACAAATTACACAGATAGGTGAATATGGAGTAGTCTAGAATTTAGTAATCGGGGAATGACATTACACCAGAAGGGTGTATTGTTAATAACTGGAAAAGGAGTCGACCACAATTGATTTATTCGCCGGGATCATTGGTTTGATCACAAGTGAAATTCAACGTGACTAATTCAAGGGTGACATTGAATATGCTGAGGACTGAGATACGCAAAATGTTATAGTCAACATAAAAGAAACTCTGTATATCACTCTGGTTTACTATGTCTCCAAAATGGTGCAGTCCCTGCAGATTTTATGGATTACCAAAAATACACAGGTCAGAAGTTTCACAATATCAAGCTTTCGATGGGATTAATTTAAATATTTTATAATAAATCAGTCTGACTCGGCGCTCGAATTATTCCAGGAAGTTCGTAACACCTACGGTCTGGAAACATAGCCGAAGCTATGGGAATTCGAGAGAACAACCCTAGTCTTTGCATACAGAAGAAATTTGTCCTACCTTAATCTCTCCCTTGGCCTAGGTGAATTCTATTCAAAACCCTCCCACCCCTTCTTTATTTTCCATCTCCTTGGTACTTTTATGATATTTATTTAAACTCTGATTATCTGTCCACTTCCCTTTTAAGATTTGACGTTATTTACTTATTAATTGAATTGTCTACATATACCCATATATACATATACTACCTTTGTTATTCTTATCACCTGCATAAACCTTATTATCAATATTTTACTATCATTATAATCATCGCTATGAATTACGTTTAAAACATTTACCACATTATTATTATTACTATTTGATCCACAAAATCACCGTCATTGGTTAAAATTTTATATATAAATCTATGTAAATTAGAGTAAAGTCTGAAGAAAGGTTTTAGTTCGTAGAACGAAAGGCTAACTGTGGAAGCCCTACATATGTGGGTGAATCCCAACAGTTTGAAGAGACGTGAAGGTATGATGTCAGCTGATGCATGGCAAATCCTGACTAATAAATAGAACAACGGTTATGTGTCAATAATTAATCATAGCTGGTCGAAATTCCCGATTGTCTATTTCTTTTTATGGAGTGGCTAACAAATGTTTTATGACTGTTCACCAATGTACACATACACACACCATATTATACAGCATGAACACATATATTTTCATTTTCAGTTACCTACGAACACCACCATTTAGTTTAGTGTAATCTGAGAAAAATTGCACTCTGTTTAAATTGTTTAACAAAAGTAGACTAATTTTGAAGGTGTGAGGTCACATTTTGATCACAGTTCAAACAATTTCGTTTATTATACATGTTGATACCTGTTTCATAACTCACTTGATCGGACACAATTGTTAAAAAACAAGAGATATTTCTTTTATATATAAAACTCTGTTACGTATATTTCGATGGTTTTCTCCGAAGAAGTTCCGACCAGACTGCCTAACGAAAAGTTGGAATCAATCATTTCAATATCGCTGAGATTTTACAAATATAATTTTCTACACATGAAATATACATATATGAAACAAACTTATTGGATATGAAGTAAAACGACTCGTCAGTATATAATTAGACTTACCTGATTCCACATGTGAGGTAATCACTACAAACAGGAATACCGAGACAGCCAGCATCACTGATTTACAACGCCTGATTTGAATTCTTATTATTGATGTCGGGTTTATTTCACACACATTCAGCTCTTATATACTTTCTAAAATCTGCAACTTCAACTATTTGTTAATGTGTTAAACATCATGCGAATGTTAGTATTACGCATACGTAAAGTGATGTGCAATACTGATTTATCAATGCGTGTATGTCTGTATGCATTTTTCAATAACTTTTTCACTTTATAGATTTTCTCTTTCAAAATTTATGCTTTTTTCATGAATATTTTGACAGTGAAAATATGTGGAATTCATTTCTGTTGAGTAATGCAACCTACACTGGCATAGCTACAATATCACATGCGTTGATGACGAAGAGTAGTGATACCAGTTACCTACTGATTAGAAGTGAAAGGCATTTCAATTTCTTGTGAAAAGCTTACTTCTCACTGTGATGCATTTATTTGAGAACACATAGTCGTTTAAGTCGACTGTGTTTCGGAAGTTGAGAATTTCAACCTACTCTTAAAATAGTGAGAAAATTCATTTAAGCCAATCCGTCGTGGACTGTGAAACAATTTGCACCTGCGTGAATACTGCACAGTGCATTACACTAAATCTGTGTCAACTTCATTTAACAGCTATGTGATGATGGAACAAGTGAAGTGAATCACAACAGAAAACACAGCGAAAACTTCGAGGTGTAACAAAAGTAAGCCAAGGGTGGCTGACATCATCCATGAAATTTCTGAGTTCTATGGATTGGATGGTGCGACA